AGAGAGAAAACTCTTTCGTTATTTCAATATTGTTCAGATATTTGATTTATCTCTGAGATTTCGACACAAAATTATCATGAATCCATTCTGCCAATGCAGAGATGCTGTTACCGTCCGCCCGCCCGCATTACATATGCCTCATCAATGTGACAAAAAATCACTCGGATCGTCTTTGTTTCGGAGTGTTTTACTGTTCGTTAAATGTTCAATATACCTCCGGAATTGGCGCATTTATATTTGATATACGGCTTCGTTCATGTGTAAACTTTCACCTCGACAACTTTTCATTTCAAAAAGCTAGCATCCGCAGTTCAATTGAATCTTTTTCCAATTAACCAATTCACAGAGAAATTAGAATGCTCAGTTTTTCACATAGCCGCGAACTTTTCAAATTAAGAGCAAAACAAATCCTTGATCCGTACAAACCGCACTTACGATTCCTTTTTGAGAACGTATCCAAACAGACTTTACTCGATTTTGGTTTTAGACGTAAGTCTTTTGCTTAGAAATTCATAACGTTTGCTGTTGGTGTTGGTGTTTTTGTCGTTGGTAAAAAAACTTCTCTTCACTTCTCTACCGTCGTGTCGCTTGCTTAGTTGAATGGAATTATTTGTATTCGAAATGAATGAATGTACCCATTTAATTTTGTTCCTCTTTTTTATGGTCTAGCCATCATAGCATAGAAATTCATTTTATTGTTAAATATTTCATAGCCTACTCCAAACACTCGTTTTAATAAATTTATTCACAACGCTCATTGCGTTGAAACATGAAGAGAAAAATGAAACACAGATTTGGTGGAAAATTCATCGTAGGTATATACTAATATACATGATTTATGAATTTCATATTGTTTCTTTCGTTGTGGAGATTTGGTTTTTTTTCTTCTTTGAAGGACCGAAGGGTTGATAAGTGAATGAAAAGTAAAATAAAATCTATTATGATGGGATCCGTTTTCGACAAAGGATTCAATTGATGCGTTATGAAATTGTCGATTTTTTTTTTCGTTCATTCGTTGGGCTCCTCAATTATTTTGTAATAAATCACGCTCCTCCACAAATATTGACACAGTGAATGTGAAGTAAAGGCAATCGTAGAAATGGGAGAGAAGGAGAAAAAAGGAGGCACGTTCATTGTTCGAAAGATATTTATATACAAATTATAAGCCTTATCTTTCCGACTTGAACAAATGCTTTGTCGTTTTTTGGGTATTATTGTTGTTTGTGTGTGTGTGTGAGTGTATGAGAGAGAGAGAGAGAGAGAGAGAGAGAGAGAGAGAGAGAGAGTTCCTTTTTATAATGACTCAATTTCAAAATTGAACCTTCATCTCATGTATTTAATTTCTAATTTCACTCTAACTCTCATCTGCCTTTTAACGAATTTCTCTCTGTCTGGCCAATACCATGACATGGTATTTGTGATACGACCTGGTTCGTCGTTCAACAACAACAAAATATTGAGCATCCATATAGAAGACAGAGAAAAAAGAATGAGCGGTCGTTCACAATGGAAACACATTTGCAGAGGATTAAATGTAATGTCTTGTTGTTGAAGAATTTATTGGCATGGAAAATGTATGCTGCGCAAAATATCATGAGATTCGATGAATACAATTCACGTTGAAAAAAAAAAACGAATATTTTCTGTCGCTCATTTTGGTGTCAAAAAGTCCTGCACTCGAGCATCGTTTTTTTCGTTTTTTTGTGTGTGTCCGTTTCGAGATAATAATATATATTGATTTGCCAAACATTTTATGCACGTAACAGAGTAAAGAAAAAAAATTGTATTTTCATCTATAGGCATCACTCATCGATCAATGTATTATCAAGCTCATTATGCCCCAGTGTATGCATTTATTTTATTATAGAAAAGTGACGAGCGAGAGGGACACGTAGCAAGAGCGGGAATATTTGTTTGTGTGTGAGTCTATTATTTGCCGTTGTCTGTCAATTAAAAGGTCTTATCTGTTTCTCTCTGTGTGTTGACTGAGCCGACGATTGACCTTTTCGCAGGACCCGTCGCCCATTCGAATGATATGGAAAAGTTTGATTAATATTTGATTCGCACAAATTTTTCAATGTGATAACAAAATTAACAACAACAACGTTGGTCATTCGGTGTGGTGTGGTGTTTTCATTAAATCTCGTGTGGGTACGAATGACAAATCTAACAAATAAAAAAGCAGTGATGGTATAAATATACATATAAATAGGGAAAATGAAATTGATTTTGCTGCTGCTACCGACAAAGTTTTCATACTGAGGGCCAAAGTGATAAAGGAAAAAAAAATACGAGGCGATAAAGAGTATTCAAAAACGAATTTCCGCAAATAGAAGTTTGTCAATTATCAGCATTTTTCCATTGACTAAAACGTGAACTACTTGAAATTCTTGACCTACGCACAGTGTTGGGAAGACCTCAGCCTTCGCCTGAATGTGCGCTCCCGCTCTTTGTACTGTTATGTCCCTTCCCCACTCTCTCTCTCTCTCTCTCTCTCTCTCTTTCTACTCATTCCCTACGTCTGTTTTTTGCTATCCCGTATTTGTCGTAAACATCCAAAATTAATTGCTTAGCTAAATGAAAAATTCAATAAGATTTTCTCGCCGGAATTTCGGTCGAACTCGGGATATACGTACTTGCTTTGCATGGATCCATGTCAATGTCGCCGGACACTTTCGACGAGAATTTCCCGTATATTAAGTCATCCATTGTGTATTTGCTGCCACGATAGTGTCCTGTTGGTGCCGTTAAAAGTGTGGCATTCGTAATGTGTTGTGCATTGACGATTCGATTGTTATGCAAAAGTGCCATGATGATTATTATTGCTGCACAGCACCGCCAATGCTGCACTGATTCGTGGAATCCTCTTCGAATGTGGGCCATATTTGTGAATCCTTGTGTCTTTTGCCTCGATAATTGAGCACAATTAAATCGCCTCATTATTCATCCGATTAATAATCACGACAAATCCACCGTTGTTCGTTCTTTTGTTTGGTTGCTTTCGTTTTATTATTGTTGTATTTTTTTCTTCTATGATTTATTGATTGTTTTCAATTGCTTTGGCGTTCGTCGAATTGTTGGTTGATTTAAATTTCACAACAATTAAAACTAACAAAATAATATGTGTCAAACGGGGATTAAGAATCATTTGCGACTTATCGACACAGATTTACTTAATATACACGCACACACATTCACATTCTGTTTTTCGTTTTTATTTTTATTAATAACTGTGAACTGTTACGAACAAAAAACTATAACCAATGAATGGTAACGTAAAATACAAACAAATGGTATCATTTAAATTGAATCGAACTAAGTGAACGAGTGAGCAGGCGAGCGGGCGAGTGATAGATAGAGAGTGAGAAAGTGAAGAAGAAAAATAAAACCTCACGCAAATATTCAAAACAATTTGAAAGCAAAGCAAAACTGAATTAATGTTATGACATGAATCAAATAATAGGCAGAGCACACATAAAACTGATTGAAAACGTGTCCTTTTGCTTCTTCTTTTCGTTTGTTTTTTTTTTTCTCAAAAAAATTCAATTGTTCTGGCAGTCAGTACAAAGGTAAACAAAACAAAACGCATCGAAAGGAGTTCGAATGTATGGCACACTGAATGATTTTGCTGCTGTTGTTGTTATTATTTTCGTAGAAACGAACGAAAATCAAAAGGAACTTTCGTACCGAGCCAACGGTTATACTCAAATAAAACGATTCGATTTGTTATGTGCAAAACGGAAATACACACGACCGTTTCGACTGAGTTACGCTCGAGAACTGACTTGTCTACTGGATTGGTGCGAATCCATTTCGGCACAATGTATACACATTCGGTTCGAAGTGTACCGAGAAAATGTAGCGGCAATAGCAGCACAACAGCATCGAGAACAACAACAACGACTGTGACAACTACATCAACAGTATAGAGCATGGAACAGAACAGAAACGCAGCTCGACACACTCGAACTGTGAGAAGAGACGCACAGAGAAAAAGAGAGTGAACGAAACACCAAAACTGAACTGAACACCAAAAATATCGTTTATTCTTTGATTCTTGGCATTTACATCCATATGCCATTATAATCATTCATTACCAATCGCATCGCATTCGTACGGGCGCTCTCTCTATCTCTATGTGCATGGCTGGTTGTCTGTTTATGACAATCTCACTCACTCTCAGAGTCAGTCGCATCGCATGTAGTGGTTGTGCGTGTAAGTGGAAAACGATTCATTAAGAAATTTTATTATTGTCACACATCTTCTATCGCTTGCTTACTCTCTCGATTGTATACGTTCTTCGCACTGATAGCACACATCACTCTGTGGTGTTTTGGTTGTGAGGCCGATTTATTTCGTCTTTGTTTTTCCATTCCTTTCTTCTTGTCACGGTTTATCTTTTTGACTACTGCAGCGATAACACACGCTAATACTTAAATGCATCGGCTGATTTGCATTAAGCAATTTGTTCCCTCCTTTTTATCCTTGCTGATTGAATACACATAAAATTTGTTGCGATATTTAAATGACAATGTATTGCATTTTCTTTATTGTATAATTTTAATGCTCTATATTCTGAGAATAGTTTTTATATCGTTGTTATTATTAATAGCAATTTATCGTTTGAACACAACAGTCAATTCAGATTGTTTACTCGAAACTCATTTGCAAATCAAAAGTGTTGCCGTTCGCATATCAGAAATTGATAATTTTGTTTTCCACATAAACCGATTATAGTGTGCCGGTGGTTGTTTTGTGTGTTCGGAATAGATTAATGTCTGATCGGAGCAACAAAGTTTAACTTAAATCTGATTAAATAGAAACGAACAATCGTTGTATACCGTTGATGGATTTTTGTTTTTCAAAACGTTTGATTCGAATCATTTTTCGCCATTTTAATACAATTCCAGAACTGGAAACAAAAATAAAACGATAAACCTGTATTTTTTGTCATGGCAAAAAGTTTTCTCCATTTCTACACTCATCCAAATTCTTCGTAACGTTGACCATTCAAATGAAGTACTTGTCACTTGGCTCCATCTGTCGTTTACAAAATCATGTTTTACCTGTCACTTTCAATCACATTTGAAATGTACCATAACCTCATCCTTCAAAGACTTTTGTATAAAAGGTAATTCTTCTGATTCTTCTTTTGTTTTTCTTTTTTCTCCCGAAAATTTACAATTAATTACAAATGCATGGTCAATCGAAATATTGGAAATAAGTTTTAAATGTAAAAGATTTTATGTGAAACTAATCAATATTGAGTGATATTTGGTAATTTCCAGGGGAACATGTCATCGGAATTCTCATGTACTACGCCGGAATGCGCCAAAAGAGCGCACATGCAATGTCCAACATGCCTGAAAATCGGAATACAGGGATCGTATTTTTGTGGCCAAGATTGTTTCAAATCCTATTGGAAAACACACAAAATTATTCACATGCTGGCGAGTGAGTTGTAACTATCAAATTATGTTAGTGCTTGCGATGTTTTGGGTTGATGCAATGTTTTGTTTTGTTTTGTTTTGTTTTATTGTATTGTGATTGAACAGAGGGACCGGGCGGAGGTGATGCAAAGGATGATGAATATCGACCATGGCCTTACTATTCGTTTACCGGTAAATTGAGACCGTATCCACAAACGCCAATGCGCAAAGTGCCTGAGAGTATCGGTCGCCCCGATTATGCTGACCATCCGAATGGTCGATCGCTGAGCGAAGAATCATTCCGTGGCAATACATCAATTAAAGTGTTGGACGATGAAGAGATTGAATCGATGCGCGTTTCATGTCGATTGGGCCGTGAAGTGCTTGATGAGGCAGCCAAGGCTATCGAAGTTGGCGTCACCACCGATGAAATTGATCGCATTGTACACGAAGCATGCATTGAACGTGATTGCTATCCATCGCCATTAAACTATTACAACTTCCCGAAATCATGTTGTACATCGGTCAATGAGGTTATTTGTCACGGTATTCCGGATGGCAGACCATTGGAGGTATTTTATTTGATCAACTCTATTTTGTATGAAAAATTTAAATTTGAGTTTTCGAACCTAAATTAATTCACATTTAAATTGAATTTCAGGATGGGGACATTTGTAATGTCGATGTGACGGTTTATCATCGGGATTTCCATGGTGATTTGAATGAAACGTTCTTCGTTGGCAATGTAGCGGAGAAGCACAAGAATTTAGTGAAAGTTACGTATGAAGCATTGCAAAAAGCCATTGCTATCGTTAAACCAGGTGAACGATACCGCGAAATTGGCAATGTCATCCAGAAGCATGTGCAAACGCATGGTTACAGTGTGGTCAAGGTAATTCAAAAGATGTTCGGAACTTTTCTCTGAAAATCCATAATGATCGTTTTTTTACCTTTCTTTTCTGAAGAGCTACTGTGGCCATGGAATCCATCGACTATTCCACACAGCACCGAATGTTCCACATTATGCTAGTGAGTTCCAAATGCAGTCGTTTATACTTTGACAGACATATATCATTCGCTTTTGGCACCAGCAAAAAAAAAAAGAATATGTTCTTCAAACTAATTCTATTGAAATTTACCAAGAAAAAGTGTTTTTATATCAATTTTCTCATTGAAACCAATTTCATCGAATTTTATCATAGAAAACAATGCGGTCGGTGTAATGAAAGCTGGAAATGTGTTCACCATTGAGCCAATGATATCGGAAGGTATGTGTTGATACTCCGAATATTCAACTCTTAGCAGGCTATTGAATGGTATGTTGTTTTTGTACAGGTACATGGCGCGACCGTCAATGGCCGGATAATTGGACGGCGGTCACACAGGTTGGGCTTCAATTCAACAATAAATTTTCAATCTTTTCCCCAAAAATCCATAATAATCGTTTTTTACCCATTTTTCTAGGACGGTCTATTTTCTGCCCAATTCGAACAAACACTTTTGGTTACAGAGACTGGCTGTGAAATCCTAACTAAACGTCTGACTAACGACGGCAACCCTTGGTTCATGGATAAATTATAATAACGTTAAAAGTTTTTTTTTTCGTAACCAAAATCAAACAAACAATTTTTCATTTACCACTTTTGAGTTTTGCAAATACCCATTTGCTTTTCTCTACTCTCAATTCAGTTTAATGGCCGAGCGAATGTAATGCATTTTCTTTTGATCAAGATCAATATTGAATATATTGAATAGCAGATTCTTTCCTGTAATTTTGAAAAAAGATTTTTTTCTTTCTGTTTAGAATTGAAATTAAAAATTTCATGAAATTCATTTCACTAACGCACGATTCGTTTTCTTTTTAATTTTAAAAATCTAATATAAAAAAATACATGAGCAGAATAATTTTATATATACATAAATGTATTTGGATTTTGGATTTCATTTTTAGCTACGAACAATTCCATCTCGTTGCCGATCGAATGACTGACGATTTTGTTCAATTTTTTTTTTTTGCATGAATAAATTTACAATCGAATTAAAATCCATTGCAAATTCAGGCATTTCTTATTGATTTCTATATCCTTTCGAATCGATGATTTTATTGATGAAGCTTGTTGCAAAAAGCATTGTTAACCGTTTTGTGTGACATCGGCTACAGCACATTTGAATAAGTTAGTAATAAGTTGGAAAGCACTTGCGAGATAACAAAAAAAAATGTCTCTTCTCAAACATCTGCAATTTAAAATCAATTGTATTCGATTATTTTATCGTCTAATAGTTGTATGTATCGATTGTGCTGCTATTGATTGGCTCTCTAGTTTCACCATCTAATGCCAATCGATCAACTGATTCCGTGTCATGCGAAAGATAGTCTTCACTGGCATCGGTCGTTGTGTCTTCTGGTTCAACTTCTTGCAAATATTGGCTGTCATTCCCGCGATAGTCTTCTATGCGTCTTGATGGTATAAAATCGGTTTTTGCTTTAGCTTCCGGCCGGTACAAGTCCGATCTTCTGACTTCGTTTTTCTGTTGATTGGATTGAGTTAAAATTGAAGAAAAAAACAAATAATCATTTTTAAATTTTCAAGCTATACCTTTTGATAGTCTTCATCTGGAACATAAATTCGGAGCGCCGTTTTGCCCGAAAATTGTTCGGCAAGTTTTTCCTGATGCTGTTGATGTGCTGTCTTTTTGCGACCATTTGTTACCTCTGCCGAACTGATACTCTCTTGGAGTTCTTCATTAGCTTTAGCGATTGTTAAATCGTTGAATTGCTGTCGTTGCCGATTTTCGATTTCAATTTGTGGATCTGGTTGTGGCTGTGGCTGTGGTTGTTGTTGTTGTTGTTGTTGTTGTTGTTGTTGTTGTTGATAAAATGTCGACGCAACAAATCGATTTTGTTCATCTGCATCGTGTTGGCCAATGTTCAGCAAGCTGTTCAATTCGGATTCAGTGAGCACCGGCTGGTGGTGTACGACGATGCCACTGCTGGTTGGTCGTTCGGCAACATAGCGTTGGAAGGTGGGTGAATTGTCAGTTTGTGGCAGTGATGCTGTGAAGTCTGTTCGCAATGGGATCGCATTTGAATGCGACTGTGATTGGGGATGTTGTGCTTCCTTATGCTGACTCTGTGCTGAGGATATCAATTGGCCAACACTCGCTACCGAGTTAACATCCTGTAGCAATGATTGCGCGGTGCCTGAAGTCAAATCGACCGGTGCTTGATTCAATGAGTCTAAGTAGGACGGTGCTGGTTTGAACAATTGCTCTCGATGCTGTTTGAGTAAATTATTCGATTGGGTAACCAAATATGTTGGATTGTACACCGACACTGGCATACTTTGGAGCATCGTTTGTTGTTGCAATAAGTGTTGTTGTAACTGTGGTTGACTTCCAATTGGTAGCGCATATGTATCGGGCAATTGTTGTTGTGGTATTTGATTGGCCAATTGAATTAATGGGGCTGCAACTGGAGCTGAGCTAGATTGTGCTTGTGGTTGTGGTTGTGGCTGTGGCTGTGGCTGTGGCTGTGTCTGTGGCTGCGGCTGTTGCTGTGGAATGAAACTGATTTCAATTGGCAAAGGACGAGAGGCAACACTGTTTGCTTGGTTGAACGAATCGAATGTCGGTGTGATTTTGTACGTTGGAATCGATTGAGCTGGATCGAGTCCATAGAATTTGGGTTTGCCGGTAAATGGATCCACTCGAATTGTGTGATCGCTTATTTGTTCGGTCACTTGATATTGCGGCACCTATGTGACATAACAAAGAAGAATATTTAGAAATTGAATTTAATTGTCTGTGTTTCTCAACTCACGGTCAACGGTCTAAATGTAATCTGATTGAATTGTGGATGTTTTTGTTCGAAAATTTGATTATCGACTGGCTCATGAATGTGTGTAAACTCGGGTTGTGTGGAATAAGCTAGATTTTTGTTCAAATTTGGCGCCGGCACAGTATGTATTGGAGTATATTTCGTATCATCGGTCAAACTAACCTTTTGCTTATTCTAAAAAGATAAAATGATGCGAATGAAGAAAAATATTTTTTTTTTAAAAAGAAATGGGGTTTCTCGTAAAAAATCAAAGAAAAATTCTACGAACCGGTTGATGGACAAGGTTATTGAATGGATTTTCGAAGATGTATTCGCCCGAATTTGGTGCACCTGGTGAACTTTGGAATCGATACCGAGGTGGTGTTGAAATAGTTGGTCTATAATACGATGGCGCTGCAATTGGCACCTTTTTCAATTGTGGATATTTCATGGGTCGCATCATAAATGCTGGCATTGCCGATGGGTATCGTTTCACAAGCATATTTGGTGGAATTCGTCCGGCTGACCGCAAGTGTTGGAAAATTTGGTTTCGCAACGATGGTGATTTATTAGCACCGTTCTGATAAGGTGGCCATTTGGAAAAGACAAGCGGGGTCTTCGTCACTGAATCACTAACCATTATCGATGAAGCGCCTATCGCTACCATTAAAACTAACTGAAAATGTCAATGGAAAGTGCATTGAATTAGACTGGAAATGAATTGTTTGCAAAATTAAACAAAAAAATCATTTTTATTGAACTGCAAAATAGAAAAAAGTGATGTAAATTATTTGCAAAATTAATCGAGATTACGATGTCATTGGATTTTTGTTGTTGTTGTTGTTTTCATTATTGTGGAAGCGATAAATCGGGCTTGTGTTCACGCTTAATCACGGCTACTACAATGGTATGCACAAGTTAGCCGAAAACTCAATAACGGCAGAGTTTCTGTTTGGATTTGTTTTTTTTTTTTTTAAATGGTGTCAGAATAAGTTCGGGATAGCGCGAACGCTAATCCCGGCTACCAAAAATATTACGCACGAGTTACGAACGTAAGCCGTAATCGCAGAGTTCATCTCTTTCGATAGTGCAATGAAAGAGACTCATTCCGGAGGATTCGCCTTAATGATCACGAATAACCTCTACGCCAGGTAAGTATGAGTAGGCATCGTCTCGACCGAGCATTTAACGACTACGCGCATACGTTGCGCTGGCGAACTATAAGCAGTCATGAAAGAAAAAAATCTTTTTCTACATACAAACTACTGCTGCTGCTATTGCTATTGCTGTTTCAGTGAGCTGTGCCTGTTCTGCTCTCTGTGTACGTATCTCACTAGTGCGTGCGTGCGTGCTTTCTTTCTATTCTATTTTCATAGTACATTCTCCTCATTGCAGTGTACAAATACACGCTCGGCCGTAGCATTTGAGTGGATAATATGACACAGACGAATAGCAAATATTAACGAACGTATCTTTTTTTTCGTTGCGGTTCTCATTATGTTCTGCTATTTTACTATTTGATTATTTTATTACATTATTATCTTCTACTGCATATTGGAACACTGTTATTTGATTCATGCATACAAGTAAATTAATGTTGTATCGAATTTGTAAGGCGGTTTTTGATTCGCATTCTACAGACACGCATCATTTCGATTCGACTTTCTTGAAATTGAAAGAAAATGGCTAACGGATTTCATTATTTTGGCTGGGATATGTTTACATATATGAAAATGCTTCGGGTTTGGTCTCTTAAAACGAATCTTAAATGGTGCATGAAGCAATCGCAGTGAAACAATGTATGGAATTGGATTTGATGTTTTCATTTTCGCTTGGCATGCAAACCGCTTACGCATTATTTATTCACTAACACGAACCAAATCAGAAAAAAAGTGACTCTTCTTTGAACGGCATTCTTTTTTCTTGTCTTAATTGGCATGCTTAATGATTTCCTTGCACAGCATACGTGTCACCATTCTGTTATCAAAGTCAATGTTAGCATTGCAAAACTATGAACTTGTCTATGAGTGTCATTAGATTGGATACGTTTTATTTTGCGTGCAAAACGGTAAACTCCATTAGGTAATCGACGGTGTTGTAGTCGATGCAGCCGCAAGGCGATGAATATGCAAATGTGAATGTATTAGCACCTCGGTTTCATGTTTTATTTTATGACCGCCCAAACGATGGAGAAACCATTAAGAAGCGACTAACTGTTTCAACAATTCTGATGCATTCGTTCGTTCGCTTGAAAGATGGCGAGTGTGAATTGGTTGCAATTATCTGTCAGAACATAACTACGCACAGAATTTCCCAGCATACAAAAAAAAAATTTGCGGCATTTTTCGCTTCAGGTATTTTTTGATGAACCGAGAAAACAGGCGATAAACATTTTGCCGATGGGAAATAAGATGCAGTTCCATTTTCTCTTCCCATCACTTACTGCGTTTTACTGCCAACCGTATGATTTGGTATTATGATGTGTGCAGGCGTGCATTTATGTGTCCGACAGAAGAGAGGAAAAAAAAGTGAAAAGACCACCAAAGTCTGAACGGGCCAAATATCGCATCTTAATGTCAACTTATCTAGCTCTTTCTTTCTCTATTGCTGTCCAAACACTTGAAAAAAAAAAAATTTATAGATCAACCATTTTCCCAATTTCGAAGGTACCCTGATTTCGCTTTTTAAAAATATGATTCAAACAATTTCTGATTTAATGATTCATTTTAATTTTCAATTTTTGCCTCTTCTGCTACTGCTTCTCTCTACTCTAGTGTTTGTTTGTGCGTTTCTTTAATTTTCATTTAATATAGACGAAACGGAATTTGCTGTGCATTCAATTAGCCGCTTCTTGTGCGCATTCGATATTCGTTTCTTTTATTTCTTTCTCTCTCTCCCTCTCTCTGTCTTACACACACTCTCGTTTCATTCAGCAAGAGAATTTGAAAGCTCTGGGCCGTTTAACATCCATTGGTGTAGCGGTATTGGTTAAGATAAGCTTTCAAGATGAATAAACATGTAGGTTATAAAAGAGACCCTAGCATTCGATATGATCGATATTAGTCTGCTGTCGAATCGTGATTACATGTTTATGCTCTTCTTTTCTCTCTCTCTCTCTCCCGCTTCTTTTTTTTACAACTAACAATCTGCGGAGCAGCAACCGCAGAAAGAAAATTCAAATTGACTTGCGAACATTTGAATGAATGTTTCTTTTTCTCTCTCTCTCTCTCTCTCTCTCTCTCTCTCTCTCTCTCTCTCTCTCTCTCTCTCTCTCTCTCTACCATTGTACTTGAAAAACAGCAAGTGCCTCAAGTGGAGTGAAATGAATGAAATGTCAACATTTTATTTCATGTTCCGCTAATAAAACGCTCGCTTTTTTTGCATGGTTCATAATAATGATGACTGGGAGGTTTTTCATTTGACCATTCAACAGTTGATGACGTTCTTTTTTCTGCTTCTGCTCGTGATCGTATATAAAAATAATGCGTTTTTTTCCGTAAAGACACTTGTTGCGGTGGAAAAATGCATATTTTTTGTCTGTTGGTCAGCAAAAAGAAAATTCGATACACGAAAACACAACAAAAATATTTTGGCCATTTTACTGAAAGTGAAATTTAAATCAGAGTTAAAGAGAAAAATTTTTCCTTTCCAACTCAATGAATATTTTTGTATGTTTTTTTGATCTCTCTCTCTCTCTCTCTCTCTCTCTCTCTCACTGAATATCACGAGATTCGTAAATTCATCATCTTTCCATCATTCGCGTTGGTTGAGATGAAAATTGTGCTGAACTGAAAGAGCGCAAAGATAGTCACAGTTCTAAACGTTTGTCTAATCTTTTTTTTGCACTTCGAACATGAAGTAAACCAGCGGAAACGTGCGTTTTCATTTCAATCACAGCAAGTATACCCCTCAATCGCATTAAATTGAGTAATTTACTGCGAAAATAAAAAGAAATATCGTCGAGAAATGTAATCGAATGCCCATTTAAAGTGAGAGAGATACATAGAGATAAAGAGAATGCCGTAACAAACCATTTGAGATGCCATTCGATCTATTGAAATTTTGCGTTGTGTATTGTTCAATGGATGTTATTGCTGCTGTTGCTGCATCTTCTTTTTTATCATACTTTACCTGTTTACCTACATAAAACGGTTTTCTATAAAAACGACTATCGCTCAGAATTGTTAACATAATTAGACAATTGCACGCAACGTGATCGGGTAAGCGGGCACACACGGCCTGACGATTCAGTGCCTCTGAACAACAGCACAATTAAATTCACGTAGCATCATTTCATTTTTATGTTCAAATTATTTCTTTCTTTTTTTTTTGTTTTCAACGAAACCAAATTCAAGTTCTAATCGACTGATTTTCGTTTTGTCAGAAGAAATCGAATGAACAATGAGTTCCTTTTATTCAGCAGGGAAATTAATTATCCGTCTGAACGAATGCGCGAGCGTGTGTATGTATGTGTATGATCATCTCGATGAATGAATTTTTCTCGTTGTTGTAAAAGTATGAAAAATGTTCCATTTCTTATTGCATTGATTCGAATCAATTATCATTTTTCTACGTGTATTTAATTTGCAGCATTGTTTTCATTTAATTTCAAATCAATTACGTCTGATTCACCCATTTGTATGAAGTAATTGAAACGGTTTTTATGCGTCGGCATAAATTGTACGGCGCATGTGTGTGTGTGTGTGTGAGAGAAGAAAAAACGGATGAATTTCAGTGACAGGTGATGAATTTCAGTTGTTCAACAAATTTTCATGCGACGATCGAGATCTAGAGAAATCGTTTGATATATTAAATTTTTAGGCTGAACAAAAATCACACACACACCCACATTTTGCGTAAAACGTGCTATTTTTACAAAATCGAGCAAAATGTGTTGTGTTTTTTTTTCCCGCTGTTGTTCATTTCCTTGAAGTCGAGTGATTCTGTCACGTCCGTTTCAATGAAATTTCTAATTGTTAATGCGTTGAATTTATTTATATGAATTAAAAAAAAAAAACACAAAATGCACGTGAAATTCGATTAAATTATTCATGTAGCAAACATACGAAAATGGTCATTTTTAAAGTAAAAGAGAAAACGGTAGCAATTGACCATTTAATGATATTCTGTGAATTAAAGGTTTCACTGCTGTTACTGCTACCGCTACACAGTTCCATTCAAACAAAAAAAATACAATAAAAAATTAAAATAAAAGTTAAAATACAAATCACTGGGTGCGCGCGTTTCAATTATATATTCAAGTTGCATATCGTTGGCATAGATTTATTTATTCGCATTTCAATTTCCGAGATTTCATAAACTGGATTTCGCCATTTCAGTGTTCTCGTTGGGTTTTTGTCACGATATTCTTGTTATGTGCTTTATTTTTCATTCTCTTTTTCTATATGGGGCAATTTTCACTAG